TGTAATATAAAGCATAACAATTTAAATTCATGGGAGCACTTTTATAAGGTAAAAGAAAACAAACCTGTATCCCGTAATTACGTCAGGAAGTGATTGTGCATCCGCTTGCTAAATATTTTGATTTTTTTTAAGCAAATTCGAAAAAATAGTTTTTCCGTTTCCGACAAGTGACTACCGCTTCACCTCTCTTGCACTCACTCAGAATATACGTTGAACGCGAGCTTGACTAACAATAAAAAAGTCGTCAAGTATATTGACGCAACGCCGTAATCAGTTCATAAAAGATTAAGTTCAGAGCAATTTAAATAATCTGAGGAAAAAGTCAGTTACGAACATGCACAACAGAGAAATTAAGATATACATTATTTCCCTGCCCTACCGGTAGTTACTGTCCATCTGGCAACGTGGTCCATTTTCACATCTGCGCGGCAGAGCCCAGCGCGGCATCACTGTAGCGAGCAATCGTTCATTTGGTATAAAAAACTTTATCTGAAGTCACTTGAAACACTGTGAAATACCGGGTGTGTTTTATATATCTATATTTAACACGCTCTGTTGCTGCAAAAATCGCCAAATTTCGCAGCAAATATCCCCCGTATAAGATCAAAGGCAGTTTCACCAGTCCACGTAGAGTAAAGCACGCCTATGCGTGGACATAGCCAATGAGAAAGCGTGTACTTCAGAGCTCTGAACAAGTGCAGGTGGCTACTGAAAATTGAAACAGTTTAGCCAGTGCCGTGTAGCGGTGAATAAACGTGTTTTCTTTAGTCTGTCCGTGTTTTTTCATAGATTTTATTAGTTTGTGTGTTTTTGACTTTTGAATACTCAGTTTACTTGTTGATTTAATTGTTGTGTTGATTGTTCTTGTGTGTTCTAAATATGGCTCTTTGGAGACCTTGGGAAAATGATCCAAGCCACGAGGAGATGGTTGGTGAACCTGTGCAGGCAGAATTCTTTCATAAAGATTTAGAGGAACAGACCCAAAGAGTAATCCTAAATATGTATGATTGTCTGAAAAACGAAAATCCAGATTCCTCGCAAAATCAAATTTTAAACAGAATTTGTATCCTGAGAAAAATCAGTCGGTCTACCATTTATCGGGTTATAAAAGGGGTAGATGTAGTCAACCATTCCTTCCACAGAAAGCGCATAGGGCAAAAATTAAAAAGAATAGACGTGGGTTTTCAGGAAGATATTCGTCGTATAATATACGGATTTTATAAAGAAAATTTGGTGCCCACGTTGGAAATGATACGGGATAAATTAAAAGATTATCCTGAAGATTTTTATAATTACAAATGCTTAGACTCACTGCACTGTATTGTAAAACTGTGTGGTTTTCAATACAAAAAATAGATAAAAGAATGGTGATTATGGAGTCGTCTCGAATCGTTGAATTGCGCCAAGAATTTTTGCACAAAGTTAAAATCTATAGAGAGCAGAAAAGAAATCTGATTTACCTGGATGAAACGTGGTATGATACCCATGATGTTGTGCAGTACGGCTGGGTTGACGACAGCAACAAGTGCATTTTAAATGCACCATGCAACCGTGGAAAACGAATCATTATTCTCCATGCTGGCGGTGAAAATGGATTTATACCTAATGCCTTGCTGTTATCTGCCAAAAATATCAAAGAATCATGTGCCGACTATCATGAGGACATGACCTCTGACTTATTTGAAAAGTGGATAGAGCAGCAGTTAATACCAAACATTTCCCCAAATTCAGTGATTATTATGGACAATGCGCCATTCCATTCCCGACAGAAAAACAAAATTCCGAATACAGGCACAAAAAAACAAGACATTATTGATTTTATGAAGGATAAGGGAATGGAAATACTACAAAAATCAACCAAAGCCATATTATTGGATCTTATTAAAAGACAAAAATTTTAAAAAGAGTATGTTGTTGACAATCTGCTTCAGCAAAATGGCCATGAAGTATTACGTATACCTCCATATTACTGCATTTTTAACCCGATTGAGTTGGTCTGGGCTGCTTTAAAAAAAAAGTAAGAAAACATAATCAGACCCCTCAATTAAGTGAATCGCTATTGGCCACAACAAGAGATGCAGTATCTCATATTGCTGCCACAGACCTATGGAAGCAGTGTTCTAGGCACATTATTGAAAAAGAAAATGAATATTGTGTTTTGCCTCCTGTAAATCCCGTTGTAATTCCTCTACAAGATGACTCTAGCGACAGCTCCGAAGGCGAGGATGATATATAAATACCTATAATGTAAGTCTTTATATACCTGTTTATATACTTACCTGCTATGTAAATATTTGCCTATGTCAAACGTTGGAATTCTGTAATTTTTCCATTTCTTAACTTTCAGTCAACATAAATTAAACTCCCAATATAAGTATTTTTTATCCCAAATCAAAAAATAAGAAGATAGTAAAATCCATTTATTGTGATATAAAAACATTATTACTAAATAAATGACCGCACGCCTATGATACGTCATGAAATTACAAAGGACGCGCCGACCAAAGGTTTTTATGCTATTTCAAGTGACTTCAGATAAAGTATACATGGTCCGTGAATATGTTTCTCACGCTGCAGTACGGATAGATTAGTCAGTCGTACCGCTTCGCCGGGCGGTGAGCTTAGATAGCAGGAGTCAGCGTATCGTAGGATTTTATTAATGGAAGTTTGAAGATTATTTAGGGAATTGAAATGTTCGTTTTATATCAGCGTCCGATATGGCAATTTTGCACTTTATTCAAATTTCAAATACTGAATTTCTTACATCTCGGAAGAAGCTATACATTTTTTGGTAAAAGTTTATAGGAACCTTTTCTGTTCAGAATAACCCAAACAACCTGAGAAAACTTTGTCCCGAAGGAAAAAATAATCTTCTGTATTCAGAAAACAATTTTTGACGCAATTTTTGGGCCTGGGCAAATTACTATGCAAATAACTGAATCAGAATATTTTTCCAATCGGATGCGTAGATACCTACTGTACTATAATAGCGTGTGCAATTTCTCCTGGAGAAAGTTAAGGTCAGCATAGCATAATTAGTACCTATTATCTATGAAATTGTGGCATAACCGCCAAAAACCGTGATACGACCTATAGGTATTTATACAAATATTCGAAAATACTATGAAGTGTGGCAACACTGAATAACTGGTTGATCAACAAATTTGAATGTTCGCGCGTAATTTTCACTTTTCCAAAACAGAATCTGATTTAAATTTCTCAATGCTCGAAGATGGTGGGTACATAGTTATAGTCGAAATCACGAAAGATGACGATTACGTCATACCATAAATTGTAACGAAATAATTACCGGACGTACGTCGATGATAAGGTTACGATGTCAGGAACATGTGATCGAAGTTAGCTGATTTCAGTGATTATTTTTATTTATTCTATTTCATGATTTTAAATTATCATTATCCGTGCACAAATTTACATTTTAAGACTTCTATTTGCAATAAAATTACATATTTATTAAAAAAAACAGCATTTCCTCTGTTCACAATAATACGTATTTTGAACCTATTTTTCATCTAATATTGATGAGTCCCTAGAGTTCTTACCAAAATCATAATAATACATTGGTATCAGCTCCATTAAAACGACCAATTGATTCTGAGAACATGGTTTTATTTTATAAAAAAAAAATACAAACACAAATAAGCATACCAAAGTGAAAATATTTTTGTACTATTTCATGTCATGCCATCCACTATTCATTTTAGCATAAGCTACAAAATTATATAAAACATATATCAAATAAAATAAACTGTACATTTCAATATGTTATTCCATTACTTATGGTCAAATTCAAATTAAAAATTAATCGCTACTGTCAGATTCAGTATCGCTATCTGAATCAAATGAGATTATCAGTGGTTCTATTTCACGAGTAATAGTTTTGTTGTACCACTCTAAAATTACATCATGGGTATGCTTCACACATTTTTTCCAAACCTCTGGTGTAATTTGTGACAGAGCTTCATTCCACATAGCTAAAACATTTTCATCACTATGACCACATCTTCCAATATGTCTATCATAATACTGCTTAGCATTGGCCCATATTAACTCGATGGCATTAAATTCACACTGGTATGGGGGGGTACGAAGAACTTCATGTCCATAACTTCTTATGATTTCATCTATTAAATACTTCTTTTCCTTACGATTTCTTTTCACTATATTTAATAACTCCACTTTAGTTAATGTTGTTTGGAACACAACTTCATTTTTAACCAGCCAGTCAATAATCTCTTTTTTTGGAGAACTTGTGTTTGGAGTCTTTTCCAATAAAATGCTATGATAGGATGCATTATCCATAATTATCACTGATGGCTCTTCCAAGTTGCGGAGGAGCTTTTCTTTTAACCACTTAATGAATGTCTCGCCGTTCATATCACCATGGTAATCTGCAGATTTAGACTGTGAGGAAAATAACAGACTTGCTCCATCAACAAATCCTTTTTCGCTCCCTGCATGGACAAAAATAAATCGCTTTCCTTGAAAGCCCAATGGTCTCCTTACACTTTTTATTGACTCATCTTGCCAAGACTTTTTTGGACTGCCTTTTGAAAATATCCATGTTTCATCCATGAAAACAATTTGATGCGAGGAAGTGTTCACATAGTCATTATAACTTCTCAAAAATTTGGTGCGAAGTAAAGCAATACTGGATTGCTCAACTAGAAATCTTCTATTACCATCTTTTTTATATTTAAAGTCTATGGTGGGCAGCACTCTTTGTAAAGAGCTATTGCTGATAGAAGCAAGCTCTTTCTCTTTAAGCGTTTTATTCAAATTTGCTATTGTGACATGTTTCTCTGAAACAAAACAAAAAATCAATAATTTGGAATGTACCATCTCACGCTCATTATCATTACTTTCACTATACATTTGATACACTGTATCTAGTATATTATGTTGTCTTAGACTTTTTTCTGGGTCTCTTCTTTCCAGATGATGTTAGGACATTATCATTAGATGATAAACGGCGCTGTATTCTGTATTGTCAATCATATGACCATATTTCTAACTATTGCAAACCTCTTGGACAGCTAACAATGGTAATAGAGGCCCTCCATTATCCTTTTCTTGTTGAAAATAATTCAGCAAGGATAGTACCAAGCCCTGTGATTGAGAGCTAAGAGTTCTGCCTTTCATAGCGAAAACTAGAATTAAAGTCTTAAATGATGCTCTTATGTTGGAAATGATTTAGTTTCTACCTTAATAATAATTTTTATGAGGAGTTTTTGTTTTGAAAAAAACAGTTATACACACAACAGAATACACCTCAAGACAGGAACACCAACGACCAAAGTATTGTTCGAAAACAACCTAACCTGCAACGAACTGTCAACACGCTGACATGACATAACCTCACTTGTCATCTTTCAAATGCGATCGATCATGAAACATGCAAAAATCGTCTGTCTTTATCGGATACATGCAATTCAGCAATACTACTTGTTTAGACAATAAAATTTTCTTTGTCTCTGTCTAACACATCTGAACCTTCATTTAAAAATATTCACAAATGGCTGTCGTTTGTCTTTACTACAGAATAAAATGATGACGTAATCGTCATCTTTCGTGATTTCGACTATAGGCATTATAAATACTCTGCTGTAACCTGTCTATTTCTCACCTCCATTTACTCTTTACCACATATCGGAAAAACGCGTCATACCTGAAAAAAAAGGAAAAAGGTGTTAGAATTTCTGTTCAAATTTTAATGGTTTTTGTATTTATTTTAGCCGTCGGAATGTCTAGAATAAACACTGTCGGTACTTTCAGACGTTTCTGTGAGAAAGAAAGCAAATATCAGATGGGTAAACAGTTTCCTGGCAGCAAGAATATTTTATAATTCAGTACATCCAGGAAGCAAGATGTGGAAGTTTGTTTTGAGAAGTTGCAACACATATAATTTTGTGTATATGCACGTAGTTCAAAGACCGGTTTGAGACTTGCGAAACATCTATTCTTGGACTGGGTGGATCATTCATAAGAACACTACACAATTTTTAGATTAATGGTAGCGTATAATAAATCGCACTGATTTAAATGACAAAAAATGTAATGAGTGATTCATTTCAATCAACTGTATAGGTTTGTCCTCATTATCAAATAAAATAAGACTCTAAGGCATTTGTTTTTTAAAATAGTTTTTTGAATATTTGCCGTCACTACGGGTAACGTAGTCCATTTTAGAATATCAAATTTTCAATGACGCATTTTGAGTAGATGCTGGTTTCTGATATCGCATTTTTACTTCACACGCCTAGTGGCGAGGTATTGTAATCGCAACAAAAATTCGAAAATGAGATATTATGTTTTTTGAATGTACATGGACATGCACATCACAGCATGTCACTCATTTCGGTCGGTCTGTGTGTCCGCTAATCTTTGGCTTGTCTATAACTTGGAAAGACTACTCGGATTTGGATGAAATTTCTTTAACAATGTTTCTACTATGTCAATATGCCACTATCGAAAAAAAAACTTTTTCGACGTTTCAGAGGGCTCTGAACATTTTTGGGAAAAAATAAGGGGTAAGTAAAATTGGAGGTAGGGTGGGCATTGTAGGGGAGGTAGTGGAGGGTGTATCGCAATTTTTGATGTTAGTATATTAAAACTATTACATACATATATTATCTCTATATTCGAGCATTCTGCTTGGAGTGCCGTTTAATGAGGTTACTTGATTTCGTGACGTACAGGTTTACACCAGAGCACCAAGGAAATGAGGCTACCGTGTATGGACACGCTCCCTGCTGCAAAATGAGGAATTTTTTTTCATGAAAAACCCAATTAGTGCGCTGTTTCGAAGGCAGGGAAAGTATTATAGTCAATCTACATAACGCCATTTTTTTAGTATAGAGGTACCTTCAAAAGAAACAGTCTAGAGGTGTGATATCACAAGATCTAGGCGGCCAATTTGTCTGTTAAAACAAGACATTAGCTGTCCGCCGAATTGTCGCTGCAGAACTATGGTTTTACCGAGTGTGCTCCAAGAAGTGCAGACCTGTCTTGTTGAAAACAAATGTTCTAATGACTATGGGACTGAATTTCAGGCAGCAAATCTCATAATGCGATAACTGTCGCTCAATACCACTCAAAAATATCGGTCGAGTCATCGGAAGTCGGAATTCCAGAATGAACCGCATTGGTCACCGAACCGACATTTCAAAGAAAAAATCTTCAAAAACTGAATGCTAAGAATGTTTCTTGCATAAGTAACATACAACGATCAAAACAAAGTAACGTTTAACTGGAGCTGTCCACATAAACTGCCGCAACTGGCAGCTATAATTTTACGAGGGATGTCTTTTAAGTTTTGCATATATGGAAATAAGACAACACGGTAGGTAGCTCTAAATGACTTTATTGTTTTTCGAAGTATTTTCCACGAAGATTAATACACATCTGCATGCGCTCGAACCAATTTTCGAAGCACTTATTCCAATCGTTTGCTGGCAGATCCAAAACGGCATTTTTGAATGCGTCAACTGCTTCTTCTGGTGACTGGAACCTTTGACCACGCAGTCTGTTTTTAATTTTCGGGAAAGTAAAGAAATCTTTAGGACTTAGATCGGGACTATATGGAGGATGGTCCTATAATTCCACGTTTTCTTCCGTTGAATACTGCCTTGTTTTTTGGGCTGTGTGCGAGCTTGCATTGTCGTGGTGGAGGACGGTTCTTCTTTCGGGGTTGATTTTTCGAAGCTCGGTGATGACTTTTGGCAAACAAATGGTGGTATACCAATCCGCAGTAACAGTTTTTTGCTCATTAAGAGGAATTGTTGCAATGACCCGCTTTTGACGCAAATATCGCGACTATATTGTTCGGAACACTTGAAGAACGGATGACTTCTGTTGGCTTTTCTTCACCTTGGAACACCCAAACAGCCGACTGTCGTTTATTTTCTGGTTCATAACAGTAAATCCACGATTCATCACCACTAATAATGCTGTACACATTTTTTGAGTTTCCGGATTTGAAACGGTCAAGCGTTTTTTGACACCAATTAACCCTGGCTGCTTTCAGCTCTTCAGTCAACAGGTGGGGTATCCAACGAGAATCTATTTTCTTACTCCTACTTGTTCATGTAATTTTTTGAATTGAGGTTTTTGAGATCTTCAAGGACGCCTCAATCTCGGGATATGTCACATGTCTATCTTCAATGATGAGTTTGCGCACAGCATCGATGTTTTCCTGGGTGACTGCCGTTTTTGGTGCACCCACCCTGAGATCGTCGCTAAGACTCACCCGTCCACGTTTGAATTCTCCATACCAATGGGAAATTGTCGACTGATGTGGCGCTTCGTTGCCGAAAACAGACAGTAACTCAGCAAGGCATTCTTGTTGCGATAATTGTCTCCGAAAGTTGTAATAAATTATGGGGCGAAAATGTTCTCGGTTGAGTTCCATTTTTCTAATGACTTGGTGACCCTTAAAAATTCACTGTTGTGAAACTTTGAATTTAAGTTTACTAAAGAGTGAGGTTAAGATTCAGTACTGACGTTCGATCCGCGCGGCCTACTATGTTTCTATATGCAAAACTTAAAAGACATCCCTCGTATGAAGGTTTTAGATATTGCAACAACAAAAACAGCTGTTGACTGCAAGTGATGACACGACATAATGCAATGACATGGCATCATGATATAATTGGTGTTGTTTTCAGGATTCACAAAACTTGTTTTTGAATTTTAGATTTATACAGGGTGGGGCAAAAGTCGCGAAGGGATTTGAAAAATTAATAACTTTTTTAAATTTTAATTTTAATTTTTTTCCCTAACACAAAACTAAAATGCAATGTTTGGAGTTTGTTTACAATTTAAGTGTGAAAGATTACATCACGCAAATGACCGCCATTTTCAGCCTCGCAAAGTGCAGCTCTTGCAAGAGCATTTTCCATTACCCGAGTCAGAATATCTGGCCCCAAAGCACTTACTTCTGCTCGAATATTATCTTTTAGTTGCTGCAGGGTTGTGGGTTTATTAATATACACTTTTCCTTTCAGATATCCCCAAAGGAAATAATCAGGGGCTGTTAAGTCCGGCGAGCGGGCGGGCCAATTGAATCCTGAATTTCTCGAAATTAAACGTTCGCCAAAAATCTGCCTTAGAAGGTGCATAGTGGCTCGAGCAGTATGCGCAGTGGCTCCATCTTGTTGGAAAGTCATCGTTTGATTGTCAGCAAGAGCTGGTCTTAAGAAATTTTGAATCATATCACGATATCGGTCGCCATCTACAGATACAGCATTCCCATCGTGGTCTTCGAAGAAGAATGGTCCAATAATTCGTTGAGACGTAACTGCGCACCATACTGTACATTTAAGCGGATGTAATTGCCTTTGATGAACCACCCTTGGGTTCTCGGTACCCCATATTCTGCAGTTCTGCTTATTTACGAAGCCATTCAAATGAAAATGGGCTTCATCGCTCATGATCAGAGAATGAATAAATTCATTATCTTCTCGAGCCATTCTTTGCAAGCGAACTGCATAAGTTAGTCGTTCTTGAAAATCTGCTGGTTTTAGTTCTTGCACTAGCTGCACTTTATATGGAAACAGATGTAAATTTCCTCTTAATATTCTGCGTAAAGACCTTTGAGACATCTGCAGCTCAGCAGAACGTCTTCGGGTTGAGGTTTCCGGATTCTCCTGAACACTCTCCTGAACGCGTTGAATGTTCCCTTCATTTCTTGCGGAACGTGGCCTTCCGCTTCGTGGGAGATCCATAACTGTGCCTTGTTGCTGAAATCGTGCCACTAAGCGTCGAATCATTGATTCAGAGGGCGAATTCCGCAAATTGAAATGACGACGATATGCTCGTTGAGTTTGAATTATTGAATGGTGATATTCAAAATAAAATTCTATAAGTTTCGTTCGTTGATTGAGGTTGTAACGCTCCATAATTAATCTCCAGGATTTATTTTACACGGTCCTGAAAAAAAAAATGAAAACAAAATAAATTTAAAAAAGTTATTAATTTTTCAAATCCCTTCGTGACTTTTGCCCCACCCTGTACTTGTTAGAATGACTACTTTCATGCAAAATTGGAGTTTTTGATACCAGTGGCAGCCAATCCTCAAAATAACATGTGTCATTACGTCAAATATCACAGAGTCTCGGCAGGATTGTATGAATATAAACCGCAGACACATATAAAATTATTCTATTTCCACTTCATTTTCTCTGTAAATTCTATAGATTTCATCACGTACGTGGCGTTCGATAGTTACAAATCCTCTCAGCAGAACA